TCATCTACCAACTGTCTGCATATCGACATTCTGGCCAAACGTTCGATACGCCTATAGCTAAGTCTGATCCACTTAGCTCGGCAAACTAAAAGCCAAGACCCGTCTTGCACGCGTACAAACGCTGCAGTTAACCTGCATATAAGCCGATCTATTTTGCAAAATCCAAGTCATATAATAGTAGTAAGCCGAGCCAGTCTCGCACTTTATATTCGATATGGATATTTCTAAGTGGTACTAATAGAAAAAAACGCCGACCTGATTCGCATATTAGTATTCACACTTAGAAATTAAGTGGTACAAACAAATGTAAGCCGAGCTTCTCGCACGTTTGTATTCACACTTCCATTAAGCCGGAACCTGTTCCGCATTCCTAAGTCATGCAAAACTATTAAGCCGACCTGATCGCACCTTGCATTCGACTTTGGAAAATTTCTGTCATGTAAACAAATAAAGTCGACCTCATCTCGCTGGTTTACATTCAGACTTAGAAATATTAAATCATACGAATAATTTAAAGCCGATATCGCATCGCACGTTCGTATTTGACTCTAACAAAAGTCAAGCATACCTCACAATTATATCATAGATTGAGCCGAGCATAGTCTCGCACTCGAGTATACATCAAGCCAAGTTCCTTAGCTCGGTATACTTTGCTTCAGCTCGGCAAACTTCACTCTACGCACCAATCTCGAAAACTATATGCCATCAAATGGCCAACCTGAAAATCTCAGAGAAGTGATGCTTCATTTTTTCGAACTCTTGGAATGGTCCGCTCTCAATTCATGCCGAACTGTCTCTTCTAATTCACCAAGCTCAATACCCATTCGCTTACCGAACTGGGGGGAGACTAACTGTTAGAGATGGATTTCGTACCCCTTAAATCCCTACATCAATTGAGATAGGCCCATTCCAAAACCCTAAAGAATATTTAGGTCGGCAAGATAAATGGAAATCTTCTATTTATCTGATCAAGTTCCAGAGAAAACGCAAGGTCGCCCTTATCAAGAAGGAAGTTTTCCTATTTCAACAGGAGAATGTATCTCCAGAAGACCGACCTTGTCGGGCTATAAATAAAGAAGTCATTCACTTCTCAGAATATAGGATAATCATCCAAGAATCTCCACACTTGGAGAAGACCTTATTCTCTCTAGATTTCATCTATTTAACTCCCTTATTATGAACTACGATTGGCTTGATCCCTTCAAAAGGGTACGTAGGCAGCCTTTCTCAAGGTTCAACTGTTTCTTAATAAACATCCAAAAATTGTCTCTCGAAACCTAGGGCAAACTAATCTTATTGTTCCTAGTTCTTGATTTTATTTCCATAAACAGTTTAGGTCGGCGTTCTTATTCCGATGACCTAAACGACCGTGTATCTCTCGAGCTCCAGCTGAAACTTAATACAGATCTCTCTTTAAACCCACAAACTCTCATTCTTCTATAGACCGAATTTGAGTTTTCACAGTTGGCGCCATCTGTGGGGAATAAGAGACTAAATCTTTAAAAGAAACGGAGCTCGAAGACGATCGAAACACCATCCATCGATCATAATACCACCAGTCTCACAGAAGACAACACCGCAGCTCGTCGCCCTCGCAGCCTGTCCTCGCAGCTCATTGCCCTCGCAGTTCGTCGCCCTTGCAGCTCATCTCTGAAAAGACATTGATTTTAATGACACAGCTCGTGCCTGAAATGACTGACTTCAGTGACACAACTCGTCCCTCAAAGGACATTGACTTCAGTTCATCTTATTCAAGACATTCGTTTAAGCTCATCTTTTTCAAGATAGTCGCTTCAGCTCGTCTACTTGAAAGTGCTCGCTTCAGATCGATGTCTCCATCTTGCAATCAGATCGGGCTCTGCATCTTGCAATCAGATCGGGCTCTGCATCTTGCAATCAGATCGGGGTCATCAACTCGCTTCATACTGCCATCTTTAAATCAGATCGTGGCTTTAAGATCCCTTCAGGTCGTCTTCTTTGATTCGCCCGTGTTCAGCTCTCCATTAGACGAGCTCTCCCAACAGCTCGTCTGCTTAAACAATTCGTTAGTTTAAGCAACTCGTCAGGTTACCGATCTCATATCTGAGGTCGTCGGTCTTCAATCTCTTATTCATAGCTCGTCAGGTCGTCGATCTCACATCTGAGGTCATCGGTCTTCAATCTTAGCTTCACAGCTCTCCAGGTCATCGATCTCACATATGAGGTCGTCAGGTCGTCGATCTCAAATCTAAGGTCATCTGTCTTCAATCTCAGCTTCACGGCTCGTCAGGTCGTCGATCTCACATCTGAGGTCGTCGTTCTTCAGCCTCAACTTCACAACTCGTCAGGCCATCGATCTCACATCTGAGGTCGTCGTACTTCAACCTCAGCTTCTCAGCTTGTCAGGTCATCGATTTCACATCTGAGGTCGGCGGTCTTCATCTCAGCTCATCAAATCGTCGATCTTCCAACTCGTCGTTTTCACATCTCAGCTCATCTCCTTTAAACCAGGTCGTCACCTGTATATCAGGTCGTCTTCTCTGGATCACTCTGCTTCAGATCATCGCCTTTAAATCTCCTTCGTCATTCCAAATGTATCAGCTCTTCCATTTTCAGGTCGGCCTATCAGCTCATCCGTTATCAGGTCGGCCCGTTATCAGGTCGGCCTAGCAGCTCATCCATTATTAGGTCGGCCTATCAGCTCATCCATTATCAGGTCGGCCTATCATCTCTTCCATTTTCAGGTCGGCCTATCAGCTCATCCATTATCAAATCGGTCTATCAGCTCTTCCATTATCAGGTCGGCCTATCAGCTCATCTAGTATCAGGTCGGCCTATCAGCTCATCCATTATCAGGTCGGCCTATCAGCTCATTCATTATCAGATCGGCCTATCAGCTCTTCCGTTTCAGCAACGATCTACTTTGCTTTTCCAAGCCGATCTCACATGGTCGCAAATAAAGCCGATCTAACATCTTACCGCAATCCGAGCTGACCTCACATGGTCAATATACGCCGATCTAACATCTGATCGCAATTCAAGCCGACCTATGGACACTGTTCGATAAGTCATCTACCAACTGTCTGCATATCGACATTCTGGCCAAACGTTCGATACGCCTATAGCTAAGTCTGATCCACTTAGCTCGGCAAACTAAAAGCCAAGACCCGTCTTGCACGCGTACAAACGCTGCAGTTAACCTGCATATAAGCCGATCTATTTTGCAAAATCCAAGTCATATAATAGTAGTAAGCCGAGCCAGTCTCGCACTTTATATTCGATATGGATATTTCTAAGTGGTACTAATAAAAAAACGCCGACCTGATTCGCATATTAGTATTCACACTTAGAAATTAAGTGGTACAAACAAATGTAAGCCGAGCTTCTCGCACGTTTGTATTCACACTTCCATTAAGCCGGAACCTGTTCCGCATTCCTAAGTCATGCAAAACTATTAAGCCGACCTGATCGCACCTTGCATTCGACTTTGGAAAATTTCTGTCATGTAAACAAATAAAGCCGACCTCATCTCGCTGGTTTACATTCAGACTTAGAAATATTAAATCATACGAATAATTTAAAGCCGATATCGCATCGCACGTTCGTATTTGACTCTAACAAAAGTCAAGCATACCTCACAATTATATCATAGATTGAGCCGAGCATAGTCTCACACCCGAGTATACATCAAGCCAAGTTCCTTAGCTCGGTATACTTTGCTTCAGCTCGGCAAACTTCACTCTACGCACCAATCTCGAAAACTATACGCCATCAAATGGCCGACCTGAAAATCTCAGAGAAGTGATGCTTCATTTTTTCGAACTCTTGGAATGGTCCGCTCTCAATTCATGCCGAACTGTCTCTTCTAATTCACCAAGCTCAATACCCATTCGCTTACCGAACTGAGGGGAGACTAACTGTTAGAGATGGATTTCGTACCCCTTAAATCCCTACATCAATTGAGATAGGCCCATTCCAAAACCCTAAAAAATATTTAGGTCGGCAAGATAAATGGAAATCTTCTATTTATCTGATCAAGTTCCGGAGAAAACGCAAGGTCGCCCTTATCAAGAAGGAAGTTTTCTTATTTCAACAGGAGAATGTATCTCCAGAAGACCGACCTTGTCGGGCTATAAATAAAGAAGTCATTCACTTCTCAGAATATAGGATAATCATCCAAGAATCTCCACACTTGGAGAAGACCTTATTCTCTCTAGATTTCATCTATTTAACTCTCTTATTATGAACTACGATTGGCTTGATCCCTTCAAAAGGGTACGTAGGCAGCCTTTCTCAGTTCAGCTGTTTCTTAATAAACATCCAAAAATCGTCTCTCGAGATCTAGGGCAAACTAATCTTATTGTTCATAGTTCTTGATTTTATTTCCATAAACAGTTTAGGTCGGCGTTCTTATTCCGATGACCTAAACGACCGTGTATCTCTCGAACTCCGGCTGAAACTTAATACAGATCTCTCTTTAAACCCATAAACTCTCATTCTTCTATAGACCGAATTTGAGTTTTCACAGATTTATTTGTGTATATATAGACACCTGATAGAGGCTATCCATAATTCTTTTTCTTTTAGGATTGTAATTTTAATTAATAATGTTCGACGTCGGATATTCATTAGTGAATTTGTTTTTTTTTTTCTTTTCCCTTTCTCGTATGAACTAGGGAATTTGTTAATTGTTATGATTTGGTTTCCTTCTCGATATATGACTTTCTTTACATGCTAATGGATAAAGGGCGGTACATGGTGTCGTCCAATACTTTTAACTAATAAAAATCAAATCAAAGAAATTAACTGTAAGCAGAATTGTTTTTGTCAAATATATTTCCTTCCAATGGCTTTTGTTTATCAAATTAAAATATTAAAAATAAAAACTAATTCATTCAATTCCGGGAATCGGGGAATCGTTGATCCCAAATAAATTCTTAAGGCCGAAAATACCGATCATTGGTCATTTTTTGTATTGGTTCCCAAGGCAAGTGTGAAGTTAAAATTATAGGATTTTGAAGTTCTCCATTCATCCATTCCCAAAGTATTGGAAATACGGAAGTAAAAGGAAAAATAAAAGTTACTTTGACCATCATATATCTCTAGGTTCTCTATATAACTCAATCGGTTTCAAGTTATCAATATCAATAGCTATGGCAAAGCAAACAAACCTAGACATTTTCTGTTGTGGATTTGCAAATATCTTGGACGAACAATGGCAAGTCGATGTGCTGCTCAAAGGAGGGGACAGTGATCCAGGTGCAGCAATCTCCGCCCACAAACTTGTTCTGGTTCTACTTCTTCTTCTTCTTCTTCCCATCTATTAATCCTTGTTACCTGTTTCAGTAAACAATTCTTGAAACGCTATAATCCTTTGCATTGTTAATATTCTCTTGAAATATGATAGGCCGCAAGATCAAAGGTCTTTAAAAAGATGCTGGAGGAGGATGAGTGTAAAGCTTCGTCGGGGAAAGAGATAATCACTCTCTCGGAGATGACACACGAAGAGGTAAAGTCTTTAGTTGAGTTCATCTACAGTAATGGCTCAATGCCTTATGCTGGGCATGCTCGGTCACTCTATCTCGCAGCGGACAAATATGAGATCCCGCATCTACGGGACCTGTGCCGAAACGAGCTTATATCTTCTCTGGATTCGTTTAATGCTCTTGACGTTTTTGAGCTTGCCCAAATCCCTTTCGACCAGGCCTTCAACGATGCTGCCTTGGGTTGTATCAAAACGAATATAACCACAATTACTGACTCTGACGAGTTCAAGTTGTTTGTTGCCAGTAACCCAAATCTTACTGTGGAGATAATGAAAGCTTCTCTCTACAGGGGTAATACAAACGGATCATACTGTTATAGCTGTAGACGCTACTGGTAGAAGAACCACAGTGTAGTTTTTGTTGTTTCACTTTGACACACCACAAATCCGTTTCATTTTATGGGGTTGTACTTTTATTTATTGGTTCACGACCTTAACAAATATTTATTCCTTTTGAATCATTTTATCAGTGTTTATGAAATATTTTCCGTTTCCTATTTAAATAAGAAAAATAAGAAAAAAAAACTAAGAAAATAGCTGTTAAAAACAAATTAATAGTAATAGAGTCTGCATGCAATAAAGTTTTGCTACGAAAAATAAATTTATTTACCGTGTTGTTATTTTTGAAATTTCACTACAGGAACTGAAATTTACCGTGTTACTATTGTATTATGGGTCAACATCCAATAATACAAATCTAATTTTTTAAGATCACCAAATACTGGCATGCAGTCTGACAATCAAATGATCAATCAATTACTAGCCAAGTCTTTTCATCAGCTTTTTAAAATCTTTATACTGACAGCAAGATATATGGACTGATGAAATTAAGCTAAGTGGTTTCAGCTTTTCTCACTTTTCCGTTGTCTCTCATATAGTATATATTCCAATTCAACTGACTAATTTTTCGGCTGCTAAAGTGCAAGAAAGTACATATATTACACGCGCACAAGAATATACAAAAGAAATTGAATCCATTTAATATGTTGAAGTAAGCAAAAGCAAAGGAAACAAAAAACAACTCAAAGTCTTATCTTAAACATACGTCTGATGAAATTAAGAAGTAGAACCAAAAGGAAACAAAACGTGTGTGAACCTATCAACCAAATATGCAAAGAGAAAGTGCAAGAAACATAATGCATAATTGGATCCAAACACTACTAGAGTTTACTGCTAAGCTATGTGGAGCTGGTGATGGTCGCATCTGATTCTGTGGAGCTTTATTAACCGGTGAATCAGCCAACGGAGACGGTGAAGGAGTCGAAGATGAGCTCCGTGATCGGACTAGTTTAGGAACGGGAGCTGCAACGGGACCCAATGAGACCGGTAAGACTACGATTTGAAGCTTTTGTCCTATGTCGCAGTGACCAGGAAATCCACATATAAAGTTGTGGACTCCCGTTTTGGTTAGAGTGACCATATCAGAACCGGTTTGGTATCTTTCTAGCGGGTTAGATGGTTCACACAGCTCGAAATCGTTGGGAGTGACTTCGATGACTTCGATGACTTCGATGACTTTGTGAACGGTGCTGCCTCCAAGGGCAACTCCGAAGAGTGCCACAAGAATCATCAAAGAAGTGAAGAAGGATTTGCTCTTGAGTCTTGATCAAAGCCATGACTGATGTTTTGTTATTTTTTTTTTCTAGGAACGAGAGAATTAAGCAGCAAAGCAAACAAGTTTGGAAGAGATTGATGAAGTTTTGAGTTTGTTTGGTGAAAAGTTGAGAGGGCGCTTTGATGTTTATATAGAACTTGATGTACGTATCGTTTGAGCTAAATCCTTTTCCTTTTACAGATTTGAAGATTTCCATATTTCACCAATAGTCCAATAATATGAATTTATTTGGATATTCCTAGTGGTGTATTGTTTTTTCTTCATCAAGGGAATTTTGACTACTAAGGATTTCCTTTTTATATTTTTCCTTGTATTTTCAGTTTTCATATTGATTTTTTTTTTAGTTGTATTTATGATTCAATTAAAGTTATCTCGTGTTTTCGTTGGCTTTTCCTCGTTTGTTTAACATATACTATAATTTTGACCCATAATATCTCTGTAAATATAAACTTCATAAAAATCATATAATCGCTCGTGAATCATAAAGTTCATAACCTTAAGTATTCTTTACTTTGCACACACACAAAAAGGTATTATTTACTAAAATCTAAATTAGATATCTCCTGTTTGAAAATATATGTTTCATGATAAAAATAAAATTGATGTACAAAAAACAATATCAGAAAATACTTAAGAAATGCAAACAAAATAAAATAAAGTTATCAGTCCTTTCCTATTAAAGATTTGTTTATATTTATGTGTTTCATATTCCTTTTCTATTATCCCTTTGCATTATTATTAATCACACCGCTCAAACACGTATAAGCAAAACGATACGCGCTGGCTCGTATCAAATTAGGAGAGTCAATAACACTAAAGGGTATTTGCGCCTTTTCACATGAGGCCGTTACAAGTTCCTCATAAACGCAGCGTTTTGAAATCGAAGATCTGAAAAATGGAGGAAGACAAAGCAGAGAGTGGTAACACGAGACGAATGAAAAACCATGTAGTGGAGAAGAAGAAGAAGATGAAAATTGAAGAATACTCTGATTTCTTCAAATTTCTCAATATCCAATTCACATCAATCCCTTTCCTCAATCAGGTTCTCTCTCTTTCTCTCCTGCAAATTACTATTCCGCTTCTTCCTTTTTTTGTTAAAGGGCTATTCCGCTTCTTCCTTTACAATCTGAAACGCTTTCTCTATCGATTCGCGTTTTCGGCAGATCATCCACATGCACGGTTTCCGAAATCTCCACAGATCGAAGACGGTACCGTTGAATCTGAATCTCGAGAGTTTTCTTCATCGATTCGATTGAAAGTTTTTGAAAGCTGAGTGCTTCTTCTCTAATGGTACTTTAACAGAAGAAAACAATAGCTGATGCCGTCATCGGATTGGATCTAATAGATCTCTCTCGCTCCACTTTGAAACACCAAAGCAGTATTTCTTCAACAGCAGCAACCCTAACTCTAGAAGAAGTGATACATTGAAGCTCTTAAGTGGCAAGAGTGTTCTCTCACCTCTCTCCAGACTTTTAATTCAGAGGTAAAAAATCAAACTATTATAGCCGAGCCAAAACAGGACAAGTCCTCAATGAAGAAGAGGAAGAGAATATCAATGAAGAAGCTGCTTAAATCGGGTAAAGCTAGTAGTAATAATGATAATGGTATTTTTTTTTTTTTTTGAAATGAATGTTAAATTTATTCAAACCAAAAAACTGTTTTGCATCAGATGCTACATTTGATCATGAGCGAAGATTAAAAAAATGAATCTATACAGTTTAGCCACGCATTTCGAACCATTTGGAGAGAGCCTCCTCATAGTCCGGATGAAGTCTTCTGATTGATGATATCCTGTTTCGAACTGCCTTATCAATTAGAAGAACTATCCGATTATTTGGAGAAGGTGCTTCACCATGTCTTCTTCTGTTTCGTTCTTGCCAGATATGGGTGATTGTGGCTTGAAAAGCATACTGAAAAAGGAAAACCTCCACTTTAGGAGTTGTGAAGTCAGATAGAAGTTAGATGATTAAGTCCCATTCGTGAACATACCTTTGGCGTAGTAGACCAGAGACCAAAGATTCCCAAATTTTCCTGGTGTATGTACACGAGAAGAACAGATGATCTCTCGATTCTGTTTCCTCCGCGCATAAATTGCAGACCCCTAAAATCCTCATATTCCATTGTAACATTCGCGCACCAGTTAACAACCGATTGTGGATAGCAAGCCAAGCCATAAATGAGAACTTAGGGGTAGAATGTTGAAACCAAACACCATTATGCCAAGAAATCGAGTGGTATATTGAACGTAGCTGTTCCCAAACATCCTTTGCCCGAAATTTGGTACAGAACTTACCATTCTTTCGACGCCATACAGCCTTGTCCCGACCACCAGGAACTCGTTTGCCTTTCTGATCCAGAATTGTTTCCTCAATAGAGTTGAGTGTATTATTCCTATGATTACGTGGCCTATGGTTTTCAAATACCGATGCCACAATTGTATTTATTGAGATCCTCAAGTCGAGAACTCCTCGTGTACCAGTGATGTCAATCAGCTTGTCTAGCGGAGACCAGATATCATACCAGAAAGATGTGGCTTCTCCATTTTGAACCTCAATAATATGGAACGGTTGAGCAAGTTCTCTGAGTTTCAGGAGCTTCCTCCACATCCACGAGCCTGAGGATTGTTTGAAGTGCACAGACCAGAAGGAATTTTGCTGGATAAGATATTTCTTGACCCAGTTTACCCTGAGCGAATCCTTTGTTGAGAGAATACGCCAAATCAGTTTCAGATTGCAAACCAGATTAACGTCGTTGAGAAGTCTAAGTCCCAAACCTCCCTCATCCTTGGGACGACAGACATCCGCCCACGCAATCTTCTATTTTCTAGGATTCAAGTCCGGACCTGACCAAAGAAAAGCAGAACACAAGCTCTCCACCTCTTTAATACAAGCCTTTGGAAGTCTAAACGATGCCATCCAAAAATTGGTGATGTTGGCAATAACTGAACTTATAAGTTGCAGTCTCCCTGTATATGTGAGAAAACGTGTTATCCAAGTTTCAATGCGCATTCTAATTTTCTCAATCAGGGGAGCATAGTCTGTTTTTCCCATTCTCTTTGTCAATAAGGGTAGACCAAGATATCTGACAGAAAGTGATCCAGTAGCAAACGGGAAACGGGCTATGATCGCCGCTTTCTCATTCTCTTTTATGCCTGCAAGGTATAGAGTGGATTTCTCCAGGCTTATTTTTAAACCGGAAGTCTTAGCAAAATCATTGAAAACGGTTATAATGCCCTCCAACGAGCGTAAGGTGCCGTCTGTAAAGACAATAATATCGTCAGCAAAGCATAGGTGAGTGAGCTATAGATTTTTACACTTAGCATGATACCCAAACTTGTGTTCCCGTGCAGCTTTGTTGAGAGACAGCGAGAGGATATGCATACTGAGTACAAAAAGATATGGTGAGAGGGAGCATCCCTGTCTTAGGCCTCTTGTACTCTGAAAGTAGCCTGCTAATTGAACCGAGAAGGACGGTGTTATGACACAGAGCATAATCCAATGGATAAACCGGTTAGGAATGCCCATAGCTGTTAACACGTTGCGCAAAAAGCTCCACTGCACCGAATCAAAAGCTTTAGAGATATCTATCTTCATTGCACAACGAGGGAAAAGCGTTGGCTTATGATAGTCCTTTACTAGCTCACTTGCCAAGAGGACATTCTCCACAAGTAGGCGTCCTTTGATAAAAGCTGATTGATTCGGCGTAATGAAAGATGGTAAGATTGCCTTGAGTCTGTTTGCGAAGAGTTTTGATATTACCTTATACAGAACATTGCAACATGATATCGGTCTGTAGTCTTTCATTTCTTTTGCCTCATCTTTCTTTGGGATCAAAGCCAAAATTTTTGAATTGATGCCCTTAGGAAGGAAACCCTTTTCAAAGAAGGATTGAATGGCAGTAGTAAAGTCATCACCAATGACTCCCCAGGCTGATTTGTAGAACTCTGCAGTGTAACCATCTGGACCAGGAGACTTATTATTCGGCATTGCAAACAGTACTTTTCGAACTTCCTCTGCATAGATGTCTTGTATCAGCTTAGCACAATCCCTTTCTGGGCATCGGAAGTCTATAAGCTCTGCCAATCCCTCTACCATAGAGCCCTCATAGTCCTGAGGAGTGTAGTTAAGGAATTCCCTAAAGAAAGACTCTGCTTCTTGTTTGATTTCATCTCTGGTTTTGAGAACTTCTTGTTTGATAATGGTATCAAAGAAAAAGAAGAAGAAGAAAGATGAGAATTTATCCACAAATTGATCCTTATACAACTTCATGAGGTTTGTATATTGTATTGCATTGGATTAGCTTTGCTCTGTGTCCATTGTTAGATTTTCTTTGCCTATATATTTTTCTTCTCGTATTGTTATTATCTTATTTTGTATTGCACCATTGTTGGATCATAGTTCTTCTGTTGAATCAGTGCTAAAATTTGATATGTTTAAGCTGAGAGAAGGTAATGGCGTTACAACACGCAACCGGCAATGAACATATATATAACAACAAAGAAGTAGACGTTATGATTAAATGTTATATATATATATATATATATTTATAAACAATTCCTAATAATTAAGGGAAAAAAGATATATACACTATACACTATATACAGACCGTTTCAACCCTCAAAAGTAACGTGAGAGACATGGCGGAGGAAAGAGATGTCATAAACTAGTCATCAGGACAATAACGAACTTTGATAACTGCACCATTTAGGCTAGGCTTGTTCTCAATCGAGCAAGAGTTTCCCGAAAAATCTATGAGGGATAATTCTCTTAAAGTTGCAGAATATATAACCAAAGATCCCTTAGTATTTCCTACGTTGCCTTTGTCTTAGTTGGTCATCATATATAGGTATAACGTAAGATCTTTAGTGAAGGCACATCATTCACAATGAAATCTGTCAAGTTGTCTCGGTCATGTCCTACCACAGACAATGAGTCGAGAGTATGACAACCAGATAAAAAGCCTAGCAACAGTCAACAGAAGCTTCACCTTTGTACACCACAAAATCAAGACAAAGGCTGTTGACTTAGCTCATAGTATCGGTTGAACCACGAGTATTTCAGTCCGTTTTTATAGCACCGGTGTGTTCCATACTGGGCTAACCGGATAGTATATGTTAGAAAGAAAAAAAAGAAGACAAAACCATTTGTTTATTTATATTTATATTTGTTCTATTAATCCAAAATTCTAGTCTTTTTTACCCATTTTTGGTTGACATTATTATTTATTTTTGGTTAAAACGCAAAACTTTGAAAACTCGTTTAGTTACTACATTCTTCGTCATCGTCAAGCTGAAGCGTCATAACCTCCACAGGAAACTAATCCATGGCGATCCTTAGCTACATCTCAGCATCATCTACTACGCCGCCGATTCCTCAAGATCAATCACCCAATCCTCGACTACCGACCAAAATCATTCTACCCAATAAGAAACCGGAGAAATGGTCCACCGGCGTTGCTCCCGGAGAGTACGGTGGTCCTCCGACTACCACGAAGCTCCGAAAGTACTGGGGAGGAGAAAAAGAAGATCCCATTACCTCCAAAGACTTAATCTGGAACAGAGATTTCATGGACCAGATGAAGAAATTGTTCGATTCCCCTGATGATTCTTCTCTCGACCCATCTCCCTCTAAGGTCAAATTCTCCTCGATTTTCTCAGACTTTTCTGCTAATTAGATATAAATTGGTGCCTAAAGTTAGGTTTTTTATTTAATCTGGCATCTACTTTACAAAATCTGAGAGAGTAAGCGTGTGATAAACAGGAAGAGTCATCTGGGTTTCTGAGCTTTAGCAGAGTGATGAGCCTTGACAGGTTTTACTTCATTACCTCTTTCTTCCTCCTTTAAAGCTGATAAAATTTTGTTACTAAATGCTTTCTTTGTTGTGTTATCTGTGAAAACCAGTATGGATGTTGATTTAAGCAAAGAGCTTGCATCGTCTCCCAAATCCGCCTTTAAAGATCTCGAAGCCTCAAAATCCGAAGCCAAAACTCAGATGGTGCGATTAATGTTCATCACTTCCCAAATTCGAGAAGCAACATTTTCCGCTAATTGTTATGTCTTTTGTTTTCAATATCACCAGAGTAATAAAGCTAGAGTGACTCCTAAATGGAAGCTGGCACCAACACGTCGCGAGCAAGATAAATGGGATAGAGCAACTAAGGCTGCAACTGGTGGCAGTGTAGGTTCATTGACCAATCAGCTACACACCAAAAACATAGAGACCTTTCTTAGGTTCTTGATTTCTTTCTTTCGTTTTCTTATTTTGTGCTGCAGGATGTGATGCTTAGGGAAGTGAGGAAGCCACGTGGTGACCCACAAGTCTTGGCTGCTGAATCCAGGGAGCAATATTACAAGGTACATCCTTTGCGTTAGCTTAATCCTTTTTTCACGGTTTTGGGATAAGGCATCTTGTATATGCATTACTCTTTACTCTCATTGGCTACTCTCTTGACTGTTTGGGTTTGTTTTCTGCAGCTGAAAAACAAGCTACAGCTTCTCACAGTCGGTATTGGTGGTGTAGGTCTAGTCTCAGCTTATATTTCATACACCCCTGAGATAACACTAAGGTTTGTCTTTCTCCTGCCAAGAACATCAAAAAACCTCTCAAAAGAACTGTAATATGCATTACTCGTTACAGTTTTGGTGCTGGCTTGATGGGTTCATTAGCATATATGAGAATGCTTGGTAACACAGTAGATGCAATGGCAGATGGAGCCAGAGGAGTTATGAAGTACGTGTTACGTGTTGGTTTGATTCGATTTCATTTTCGGTTTTATCTATAATTGATAATGACTCACTCACGTATCTCTGTTCTCTTTCTTTGGTTTCACTGAATTGATTTGATAGAGGTGCAGCGGGACAGCCACGGTTACTTGTCCCGGTTGTGTTGGTTATGATATTCAATAGATGGAACGCGTAAGCGAGTCTCTCTTGTGCATTATATATTATCTCTTTCATTAAAAAAATGAAAACTAGCTTGGTTTCATTAAATCATATGTTTACTTGTGACTTGATGAATTTGCAGAATACTTGTTCCCGAGTATGGATTCATGCACTTGGAGTTGATACCAATGTTGGTTGGGTTCTTTACTTACAAGATTGCTACATTCTTTCAAGCTATTGAAGAAGCCATCTCCATTACTACTCAAAAGACCGATGCCTAGAGCCACCAGCTTCAATCTACATTTATTAACAAGTTAGATTGCTCTGTGCTCATCATCTCTAGACAAAAACCAGTGTTGTAAGAAAATATATTCATACACAATAGTATTCGCTCTGAAAATAACTAATAACTCATAGTCATTTCATTCATAGGAGATAGCTAAGAACATAGAAAGCAAAATGCAGAAAAGAAAACAGACTAATATAGTAGTTGAACGAGAAGTGAAGTGAAACACAGAAAGTAGAATTAATAATTTTGGGATTTCAGACCAAACCAGGTCCAGTGTTGGTTTGAGTGTATTCTTGGTCAAGTCTTCCTTCATAAACATAGCCTAGCTTCTCACAAAACTTCTTAATCTCTTCGACATCTTTCTCAGAGCAAGTAGCATCGGAAACAACAATGGTCGTTTCGTTTTCTCCGGCTTTGTATTTGGCAATTGCCCGATGATTAGGAACAGCAATCTTCACGACCTTGTCGTCTCCAAAAGTAGTGCAAGAAATTACTCTCGCTTCCATTTTGTTTTAATTTTTCTTTTTCTTTTTCTTTGGGTTTTATGATTCTGCTTTTGGATAGGAACAAGAAAAAGAATAAGAAATAAGAACGATGGGTGATTTAAATAGAGAACAATCATGTGAATGTTAATGGTGGAATCATGAAACATACGTGCATGTAAAAAGTGAAAACATAAAAAACTGTAAAGTGGACCACCAGACTTCCTTTTTGTATGAAGTTGAATCCAAAAAATTGCTTCATTTTGCATGACTCAATCTAGAAAGATAACGATACCACGACAAACTAACTAATCCTATATCCATTCAAATTATTCAATAACTCGGGAAACCAGATCAAGAAAGAGAAGATGCAAATAATGTTTAGGCACCATTTAGTTGTAGTTGCTCTAGGGTTTTACCTTAAGCGTCAAAAAACAAAGTGTTAGCTTGTGAAGTACGTATTACGTGTGTTCACCTTATAAGTTATAACTTATAATACGTTTAAAGATGATCCGTTAATTATAATTATCATGCAAGGACTAATGTTCCGACTCCACGAAGAAGCTTAAGTCCAACACAGCGTGTATTCACAATCGAGCAAGAGTCAGAGAAATTAAGCTGTATTTCATCACCATGCTCTTAGTCGGATGCTTCAGCGAAATCTGTTGCTAAATCTAAAAAAAAAACCAAAAATATATTTGATATGAATGTTAATATCATTAAGATAAATGAACGATGGGTTTTACATCTAACATTTTTGCTCTATGTACATATAAATAAATAAATATTGTTATGTATTCTGTTTATGTTTTTAAACATCTTAGCAAATCGAAAACAATAAATCCTGTTCAAAGAGAAGAATGAGTAAATTAAAGACATACAGTATGGTTTATAAAATCTCTAATCATATTGTTTTCTCCTTTCACCTCCTCCCGCATATTGCTCATTGATTCATTACATGTGGGAAAAGTCTCGACATGTATTCATAATATCGACGCTTTTCTAGCTCGCTTTGTTCTTTACATTCGCCTCCTGAAGGCTGCTTGATTTGCACTAAACTTGGAACATAAGAGCACACATGTGGCCTACAGTACTTTTGGTCTCCATGTTCTCCGAGGAAGACATCCAATTTTCTAAAGTATCCACCATCTCCAATTATGTTGATTTTTTTTGGATAATCCAATAGTCCAAAGTATCCAACATCTCCTATTATGGCGACTTTCTTCTCCTCTTCAATAAAGAAGCCGTTGCTTATAAATGGAACCATTTTGTCAAATACCGTTTGCACTCTCAAGAACTTGCGCCACGACAACTCTTGGGGGGCCTCAATCTTAGTCGTAATCCATATGTCAAGCTCATACGGATTTGATTCGCCGTGCTGAAGTAAAACCGCAAGCTTCTCTTCTCTAACACAAGATAAAGCCACATAGTCATCATCCCCGATGCTAAACGGCAGAGGCAGAAGCTGATCAAACCTCTCTCTTGTAAAATCAAAACAGATTATGCTATCAAGGGAGAGTTCCGTGTTGTCTAACTTTCCTTCTCTAGAAAGCCAATAAGTGTTTCCCTTGAGAGAAACGCCAAAGTTATCAAACGATATACACCAGTGTGGAGTGACATCAAGAGTTGTCCATAAACCAGACTCAAAATCGTACAGCTCGTACCAAAAGATTTGGTCTTCAGGTTCATGATAGAAAAAATCTACGAACCTCAAGAGTTTAAGGCTACGACGAGATTTCGTATCCTCGTATCCTAGAGCGTAACTGAACACGTCCCATTTGTTTATGCTATGAGAATATCTGGTTTCGATCCACCTTGTCTCCCCCAAATACGGATTCCAAACCAAAACTCTAGAGTCATTTTTCAAGATGCATAGCAATAAACCTTGGCAGTGATAGATTTGTGATATCTTGATTTGTTCGTTTGCGCAACTGAGTTTGCCTTTATGCTCTTCATACGAATCTCCATTGACGACGATGCTCTTTAAATATATATCTTGACCATTGTAACCCACCACCACCATCATCGGAGACCCCCCTTCCTTTGCTGCCGCTGATGCTTGACCGTTCTGCATCTTCATAAAGCTCCGAGTTCTCGATAGATCATTCCACTTCTTGCAAGTTAATCTCACTGGTCTCATCGATTTCAATGGAAATCTAGAGAGAATCTCCAATACCAAATCGCTTGGAAGATCGTAGATCGTCGTCGTCATTGTTTCAATTTGCAACAAGGGTGTACTGTATATATGTATTTTTTTAATTTCCTCTGTTTTCTTGCTGATGACGGAAAGTATATACATGTTGAAAGGAAGAGAAAGAAGCCCTAAACAAGGATGGGCCAATAGTGGGCTTATGAATCTCGTCAGACTTTTTTTTTCGGGTTTAAGTCTTAAGTCTCAGGCTTTTTTGTTTTGTTTGGGGACTAAAACATAGAAAGTAGAATTAATAATTCTGGAATATCAGCCAAACCAGGTCCAGTGTTGGTTTGAGTATATTCTTGGTCAAGTCTTTCCAAGCATAACCTATAGCTTCTCACAAAACTTCTAAATCTCTTCGACATCTTTCTCAGAGCAAGTAGCATCGGAAACAAAAGTGGTCGTTTCGTTTTCTCCGGCTTTGTATTTGGTAATTGCTCGATGATTAGGAGCAGAAATCTTCACGACCTTGTCGTCTCCAAAAGTAGTGCAAGAAATTACTCTCGCTTCCATATTTTTATTTTTCTTTGGTTCTATGATTCTGCTTTTGGGTAAGAACAAGCCAGAGAATAAGAGTGATGGGTAATTTATATTGAGAACAATCATGTGAATTAATGCTAGTGAATCATCAAACATACATGCATGTAAAAGGTAAAAACTATAAAATGGACCACCAGATTTCATTTTTGTATGAACAATAAAGCTGAATCCAAGAAAGTGCTTCATAATGCATGACTAAAAAGATAATGATTCCACGACAAACTAATTAACCCTATATCTATTCAAAATAATCAAGAACTCAGGAAACAAGAGAAGATGCAAATAATGTTTCGGTTGTTCAGTAGTTGCTCTATGTTTTTTTACCTTAAGCATCCAAAGACAAAGTGTTACTACTATCTTATGAAGTACGTATAACACATGTTTTACCTAGGTTATAACTTATATAATCCGTTGATCGATTATAATTTATCACCGGAAGAACTAATGTTCCCGACTCCACGAAGAAGCAAAAAGTAGCGTGTGTACTCACAATTAAGATGTGTTTAATCATCATGATCATTATTATTCCAAAGAAAAGATTTTGGGGCTTGCTAGTATCTGAGAAATCATTGTTATATTCTGTTTTTGTTTTTAAACATCTTAGCAAAACGAAAACAATAAATCTTGTTCAAAGAGAAGAATTGAGTAAATAAATGACATACATTATGCTTTGTAACATCAGATTCTAATCATATTGTTTCCTTACGTTTGCCTCCGATCAGACCCATATATTCCTCGGTCGATTCATTACGCCTGTGGGGCAAGTCTCACCATACGTAGTTGGTCACGATGATAAGTTTCATGTGCGACAAGTCTCAACATGTATTCATCATATCGATGCTTTTCAAGCTCGCTTTGTTTTTCCTTTCGCCTCCTGAAGGTTGCTTGATTTGCACGAAACTTGGAACATGTGACCTACGGTAATTTTGGTCTCCAAGTTCTCCGAGGACGACATCCAATTGTCTAAATTAAGTATCCAGCAGCTCCAATGATGTTTACTTTTTTGGGATTCATATATCTTTTAAATTTAAAATTGGGACTCATATATTACTTTCATTACATTAATTCAATTCATAGTCATATGCGTTCGATGTATTAATTAGCTAAGTCGTCATTTATATTTCACAAATTAAATAGCAGCTTGAAATAACCCAGTCTGTATAGTGCAAGATTTATTGACAAATTAAGTTGAAAAACCACAGAGGAATTAAGCGTTTTGTCATCATCATGATGATTATTTATATTACCAACATAGCATTTGGGGCTTATTAGTGTACATTAATTCGAGAAAATAACTAAAATTCATTCGTAATAAGGTTTTGTTTTTAAAACATATCATACTGGAAGAAAACAACAAATCTTTGTTCAAAGAGAACAAGATAGTAAATGAAAGGGCATAAATTAGAGTTTGTAAATTAAAGGCTAACCTTGTCGTTTTCTCCTTTTGTCTCCTCATGCAGATTTACCTCACTGACTCGCTTTTGCAGTCGACGCTTTTTCTGCGTCGCTTTGTTTTTTTTTTTTTTTTCCTTTTTTTGGCCACGTGCAGGTTTCTTGATTTGGACCAAACTTGGAACATAAGAAGAGCACATATGTGGCATACAGTACCTTTGGTCTCCACCTTCTGGTCCAAGGAGATCCAAATCTCTAAAGTATCCATCATCTCTAATGACGTTAAGTTTTATGGGACCTCCTGCAACATCAAAACCCATGGCGATTTTCTTCTTCTCGTCAATGAAGAAATGACTTATAATTGGAACCATTGTGAGATACGTTTCCAATCGCAAGAACTTGCACCAGGACACCTGTTCGGTCTCAATCTTGGTTGTAATCCATATCTCAAGCTCAAATGTATCTTCGGTGTCCTGAAACAAAGCCGCAAGCTTCTCTTCTCTAACACAAGCTAATTCCACCCATTCATATTTTTCTTCATCATCATCATCATGAAGGTTATACGGAAGAGGCATAAGCGGCCCAAATCTCTCTCTTGTGAAATCAAAACAGATTATGTAATTATCGCCGAGGGCACGTGAGTTCCTTTTTCTAACAGGCCAATAAGTGTTTCCCTTTAGAGAAACGCCAGGCTGCGCTATAACACAGTGTGGAGTGACATCAACACTTGTCCATAAACCAGAGTCAAAATCGTATATCTCATACCGTAGGAAATGGTCTTCGGGTGCATTATAGAAATAACCTCTTCTTTTGGGGTCAATATGGGTATAATATTTAAACCTCAAGAACTTGTGGGTACGACAAGATTGTTGAACTATAATCAAAATCTCGTATAAGCTAGTTATATTCACATTAGTTAGTTACTTGATCAAGAGACACAAATACTCTGTTTCAGGTTGTGTCTTTTCTATTAAGAGTCATGTCTCTTCAACACAATGTTTCGTTTAGTATAAATATAGGTCGAGACTCACATTTGTAAAATATAACAAGTAACTAAAGTTGTAATACTTTTTCAAGTTATTGAGAAAGACAAAGTTACAACCATTTGTTCTTACTCTGTTTTCTTATTCAAAAGTCGAAACAATATACACTTCAACATGGTATCAGAGCTATTCGATTGAGTGAGGACAAGAAGAAAAGCACAAAGGAGAGAAAGGCGAAGAAACAACCGCAACAGATCGCATCTGTCAAAGGAAATAAGCCGAGACAATGCAAGGCTCCTCACACCAAGTGATCCCGATCTTCAACGGGGAGAAGTATGGCTTCTGGAGCATCAAGATATCGACCATCCTTAGGACAAGGAAACTTTGGTCAGTGGTCGAGGAAGGCGTACCGCCGGAACCGGTACAAGGAGAAGAAACCCCTGCATCATTAAGAGCAGTAACCGTTAGAGAAGAAGCGGTTATAAACGACACGATGGCGTTGCAAATTTTGCAAACCGCCGTCACTGATCAGATATTCTCACGCATATCCGGAGCAACATCATCAAAGAAGGCTTGGGAAGCGTTGAAAGACGAATATGAAGGATCTCCCCAAGTTCGATTGGTGAAACTTCAAACGTTGCGACGAGAATACGAAAACCTTAAGATGAATGATGGAGAGGATGTTAAATCATTCACCGATAAGTTAGTTGATTTGGAGAGTCAATTAACATATCATGGAGAGAGGAAAACGAGCGCACAACTCGTTCAGAAGATACTCATCTCTATGCCTGAAAAATTCGATAGCATCGTTAGTGTTGTGGAGCAAACTCGCGACTTGTCTCTACTTACAATGACAGAGCTTATCGGAATTCTCAAGGCACATGAAGCAAGATTGGCTGTAAGAGATGGTAACAGCAATGAAGGAGCATTCTACACGCGCTCAAAAGACAAGGAAGCCGGTTTCAAACGCCGTGGCACACAAGGCAAGAAGTGGTGTGAATTCTGCAAGAGAAGCAATCACACTGACATTGAATGCAGGAAGAAACCGAAGAAGAATGATCAATGGAAAGATCAGAAGAGTAACAAAGAATGTTACAATTGTGGCAAGATTGGCCACTTCGCAAACGTGTGTCGATCAAAGAAGAAGGAGAAAGCACACGTGAGTCAAGAGGAAAGTGAATCGGAAGAAGATCACATGTTGTTTACTGCAAGTGAGGAAGTAACAACAATACCAAGAGAAGACTCATGGTTGATAGATAGCGGATGTACCAACCATATGACAAAGGAGGAGAGATATTTTTCAAATATCAACAAGAGCATCAAGGTTCCGATCAAAGTCGGAAATGGAGAGATAGTTATGACGGCTGGAAAGGGAGACATCACGATCATGACTAAGTATGGGAAGAGAATCACCAGAAACGTCTATTTGGTTCCTGGTTTGGAGAAGAACCTGTTGAGTGTGCCACAAATAATCTCTAGTGGTTATCAAGTATGTTTCCAAGAGAAGAAATGCATCATTCTGGATGAAAGAGAGAAGAAGATCTTGGAGATTCCAATGATAAATAAAAGCTTTAGAATAAAGCTAAGCACGGTCCAAGAAGAAGCAATACTAGCTAATGAACCAGGAGAGATGAAGATATGGCACAAAAGACTTGGCCATGTGGGAAACACTTGGCTCCATCAAATGCAGCAGAAGGATTTGGTAAAAGGATTACCAAAGTTCATGGTTCACAAGGAATCATGTGGAGCGTGCAACCTTGGAAAGCAGTCTCGTAAAAGCTTTCCAAAAGAGTCTCAAACCAAGACAAAGGAGAGATTGGAGATCGTACACACAGACGTATGCGGACCAATGCAACATGAATCACTTGGTGGAAGTCGATATTTCTTAGTGTTTTTGGATGACTATACCCATATGTGTTGGGTATACTTCCTCAAACAAAAATCAGAGACTTTCTCCATTTTCAAGAAGGCCAAAGCGATGATTGAGAAGCAATCAAGGTGTTCTATCAAGATACTAAGGTCCGATGGCGGTGGAGAATTCACATCAAAAGAATTCACCAAGTTTTGTGAAGAAGAAGGCATTGAAAGGCAAGTCACTTTGCCTTACTCACCGCAACAGAACGGATCAGCCGAGAAGAAAAACAGATCATTGGTGGAAATGGCAAGAACGATGCTTGTAGAACAAGACTTGCCATTCAAGTTTTGGGCCGAAGCCGTCCACACGTCGGCTTACTTGCAAAACCGTCTACCAACAAGAGCGGTCGAAGGTGATCTAACCCCGATGGAGAAGTGGTGTGGACACAAACCTAATGTGTCACACTTAAAAGTCTTTGGAAGCGTATGTTTCGTTCACATACCAGATCAAAGAAGGAAGAAACTTGAAGCGAAAGCTAAGCGGTGCATCTTCATCGGCTATAGCGATCAAACGAAGGGCTATAGAGTTTTCAACCTTGAAAACGAGAAGATCGAATTCTCAAGAGATGTTGAATTCGAAGAAGAGAAGAAATGGAGTTGGGAAGAACAAAAAGAAGTCGATAAAACCTTTGTCTTACCCATAACCGACGTCAATGCACCAAAAGATCAAGTGGAAATCAATGGAGAAGGAGTAAGCAACGATCTAAGTGATCAGATAGATCAAGTGAGTAATGCTTTCAACAATCTGCAAATCTCACCCGAAAGGTCTCAAAATACCAGAGAAGAAGATGGAGGAGACTTCATCACTCCAAAGAAATTAAGATCGATGACTGAAATCATGGAAATCGCACCGAGGGTGAATCTAGAGGAAGCGGCTCAAGTCATAGAAGCCTGTCTTCTTGCACAAGAAGAACCGCAAAACTATCATCAAGCAGTTGAGATCGAGGAATGGAGGAGAGCCATGATCGAAGAGATATCGATGATCGAGAGAAACAACACTTGGAAACTTGTAGATAAACCAGAGAAGAAGAACGTAATCAGTGTGAAGTGGATCTACAAGATAAAGACGGGTGCAAATGGAGAGCCAATCAAATACAAGGCAAGATTGGTTGCTCGTGGTTTCTCTCAAGAACATGGAGTTGACTACCAAGAGACTTTTGCTCCAGTCTCAAGGCACAACACCATAAGAGCTATATTTGCATACGCGGCTCAAAGGAAGTGGAAGCTATACCAAATGGATGTCAAGTCAGCCTTTCTAAATAGAGAATTAAAAGAAGAGGTCTACGTTACACAACCACCTGGGTTCGTGATTGAAGGAAAGGAAGAGAAGGTGTTAAGGCTTCACAAAGCCTTATACGGTCTCAAGCAAGCTCCTCGGGCTTGGTATGGAAGAATCGATTCATACCTTCTTCAAAACGGTTTTAAGAGAAGTATGAACGATGCAGTGTTGTATACTATGAAGCAAGGAAGAGATTTGTTGATCGTAAGCCTTTACGTAGACGACATCATCATCACAGGAAGCAACATTCATCTCGTTAATACATTCAAGGAAAACATGAAGAGAGAGTTCGAGATGACGGATCTTGGATTGCTAAGTTACTTTCTCGGTTTTGAAGTAATCCAAGATGATCACGGCATATTTCTTTCTCAAGAAAAGTATGCTAACAAACTTATAGACAAGTTTGGGATGAGATCAAGCAAGGTGGTAAGCACTCCACTTACACCTCAAGGCAAGAAGGAAGGAGATGACAGAGAATATGGCGATCAAACAAAGTACAGAAGCATTATCGGAGGCCTTCTATACTTATGTGCATCACGACCTGATGTGATGTATGCAAGCTCTTACCTCGCAAGATACATGTCAGCGCCAAAGATGAAGCACTACCAGGAAGCAAAGCGAGTATTACGTTGTGTCAAAGGTACATCAAGTCTTGGGGTTCAGTTCACAAGTGTGGAAGAACCAAGGTTAATTGGCTACTCGGACAGCGATTGGGGTGGTTCCATTGAAGACAAAAAGAGCACATCAGGATATGTCTTTACCCTTGGATCAGCCGTGTTCTGTTGGCAATCAAGCAAGCAACAAACCGTTGCTCAATCAACAGCTGAAGCAGAGTATGTGGCCGTATGTGCAGCAACGAATCAAGCAGTCTGGCTTCAAAGACTTCTCAAGGATTTTGGAGAAGAGATCAAGGAAGGAATCACAATCTTTTGTGACAACAAGTCCGCCATAGCAATCGGGAAGAATCCAGTGCAGCATAGGAGAACAAAACATATAGAGATCAAGTATCATTATGTTCGTGAGGCAGAGAGCAAGGGACTTATTCAACTGGAATACTGCAAAGGAGAAGATCAACTCGCGGACATACTCACAAAGGCGTTAAGTGGCTCAAGATTTGAAGAACTTCGAAGACAGCTTGGAGTGT